CTCAATGGCCTCACCTCCAATGGTACCCTCTCCACCCTCAATGGTGCTGTCTCCACCCTCGATGGCCTCACCTTCAACGGTGCTGTCTCCACCCTCAATGGTGCTGTCTCCACCCTCAATGGCCTCACCTCCAATGCTACTGTCTCCACCCTCAATGGTGCTGTCTCCACCCTCAATGGTGCTGTCTCCACCATCGACCTCTCCATTCTCAATCTCTTGCAATCGACGTGCCTTACTCCGGAGCGAGGCAGCCAAAGTCTAAACGCAGGCAAAGAATGTATTGCTACATACAAACAGCAACACAAGTTACAAGTTCAAAGTGCTGTCCTGATTATGGCCGATATAAAGGAGACTACATGTTAATGTTCGTGGCGGACACAACTATAAATATATAATATATATAATATATATATTATATAATATATATATATATACATTGAATCTATTGGTTGTAGTGCTGCTGCTACTGCTTACAACTGCTTCTGCCATGTCACGTGCCCCCCGTCGGAGCTGGAGCTCATCGAAAAGCTGTGGGAGAAAGACCCCGAGCCTCCGATGGAGTGGGATCCGCTGAAAGACCCGGAGCCGCCAAAGGAATGGGAGCTTCCGCCACTGGAACCACCCCAGGAGCCAGAGGAGCCAGAGGAGCCGGAGCCAGAGTAGTGATGGACAACAGTGGTCGCTCCAGATCCAGATCCATAGCTGTCACCACCGAAATGGCCCGAACCACCCCAGTGGTGGACAACGTGTGTGGGCACATACTCATGGGACACATGGTGGGTCACGTAATGGTGGGTGTGGTATACGGTGTGAGGACGGCCCTCCGTCACGTGTGTGACATAGGTCTTCGTAAGGCTTCCCGAATGGTCGCCTGGCATCCGGAGCAGGCATTGAACAGGAGCTTGGAAAAGATAGCTATTGAACCATTGGCCTACCTCCATTTGATTTCTGCCAAGTAGGACTTCATTTTGACTCATGTTCAACCCCAAATCCAGGCTAGTTCCTCGACATCTCAGCCCGGCTGAGATGTCGAGGAACTAGCCTGGATTTGGGGTGTCTCAGCCCTGCTTCTGCTCAGCCCGCCTGGGCATCCTCGACTCTCATGGGAGCAGCACCAGCTTTTCTTGGCTGAAGACCAACCGGAATTCCTGGTCTCATACAAGCTGGAGCAGTGCAAGCACTCCAGGGAGTGAGCAGGCAACTGTGTTCTACTCGCACATACTTTGTTGCTGCAGCAACTCTGGGCGATTTCCATGTTCTTGCGTTTGGGGTTGTCCATCAAGCGAACTTAGTTGTAGGATTGAGTCAAGAATCAATAGAAAAAATACAACATGCAAATCACATGCTTCATGAGACTTCTGCGACGGCAAACCGGCCAACAAACAAAACACATTTGCGAGGCAAAACACAAAATGGAATGCTTGCACTCGCAAAATGACAAACGGAATGCTTGGAGGGCAACTAAGTACGACTCCAACCACATCAACCACGGGGTAGAGCCCACATGAGCCCACATTGCTTGAGCCGCCAGTTATCAATCTACTCCATGGATTGAAAAACACATTGATGTTGAACAAACAGGATGTGAGTGAGTGGTTCTCAAGATGATTGACCCGAAAAATAAACGTATATTTGGATTTGACACTTTTTTTGGGTGGGGAACGATCATAACTGTGCTGATAACTACCGTACCTCCAGTCATGTACCAGTTTTCAGCAAGAAGTACATCAATGGCATCATAGTTACAGTAGTTCTCTTCAATTTCAATCTGTATTCTAAACCTCCTTCTCTCCTGTCTTTGTTTCCTCCCTCCTCCAGTTGATTAGCCAGGTCTCCAGTTGTTGAAGCCGGCTTTGCAGTCGTAGATGTGCTGCACCTTCACATGGCGAGTCTTGTAGATCACCTGCGAATGCAGGTTCTGGCGGTGATGACACAGCAAGTTGACAGCATCAACCAAATGTGTTGTTGATTGATTTCGGATTTCCCGGCACGTTCTGTTTTTGTCAAAATGTTCCGCAGTTTGAAGCAAGCTGGCGTGATTGTGTGTTTTTGTTGAGGGATTTGCGATGGCAACAAAAGCCAATGTGACATCGCCGCCATCCATTCAGAGTTCGACCTAATCCTGCACCGACTCAATTGGTGCGTTCCGCGCCTTGTTCTTCACAACGGTTTGGGGTGGCAAAGGCACTGGCACCTTGATCACCTGCTGGAACTCTGCGGGAAGTGATCAAAATAATCGGGTTTGCAACAACAAACATGCAGAAATTTTGTACACAAAAAATGATAAATGGCATCCTCGTAGAGTTACTGCAACTGCTGCATATGAAAAACAACCGCAACCGCATAGTGCGCCTGTCCGGGGTCCTTGATAGGAACCGGCACAGGCACGTTGTGGTATTGAGGTGGGCTTGGCTCTCGCACGGGCACGTAATGCTTCTGGTGAACATACTTAGGGACCTCAACGCAAAATCATAAACAGCGAAAAACATCGACAAAGCGAACGCTGCAACAAACTGGCGTTGGCAACTTCAGCCACTCCAGCTGTGAAAACAGATGCAAACTTTCATACAATTGGCAGTGGTGGAGCAGCCCAAAACCTGCCGCCAAATATTTCTTTAACAAACTAAACTATATAAATCGCTGGCTGCGTGAAGACTGCGGTGCATCTCAACAAACAAGCATACAAACAGCCGAAGCCAAGCGGCGTAGGTAGGCTGTCCAGGAACAGGCACTTTGATGACCTGTGGAGGGTCCTCAGCATGAGGGATGCCAGCTGCGCACACAAAGCACGTGCCCAACATGTCATTTCTTTTATTTTCCGATCCATTTTGGTTTGTATGTCATTGTATGTGTGGAACAATCAGCCCCACTTGTAGTTGCTTCCACCCCCCCCACCCACTTTTCACTCTAACATGACTGTTTCTGCAGTCTTTCTGGTTATACTTGTTGATTGAGTTCATTGTACCACCTTACCTGTAACTTCCGCAAATGTCCCAAAATCCAACGACACAAGTCGCCGGCCTGAACCTCTCCGCCAAGAGTCGTGAATCGGGTCGTTCACCACGTGGTTGATCACTTGGGGCGGTGGTGCCGGGATGGGCACATGGACTGGGACTGTGACATGCTTGATGTGAGTGATGGTGTGGTAGTGAGGCCTCAGGACAGTCGGAGCACAGTGATCCAAAACGTTACTGAGACAATAGACATAGAGCCACAGCATCCCCCAGCCTTTCCAGCCATGCGCACCCCGAACGCAAACATGGTTATACTCGTATACACATGGCGTCTCATCAAGCAGCTTCTTTGGACAAGTGGACTTACAAAATTACCAAAAACTGCACGGAATTTAAGGCCTATCCCCAAAAGAAAGTTTGTCGTCGTGCATTGTGCTTGTACACTGCTGGGGTGCCTACTCTGGGGGTTCCCGGCACCAGAATTTATGGAAAGGGTGGATTCGCGAGGCTTCGCACAAGACCAAGGGCTTTGCGAAGTGATTTTGCAGAGTGGTTTCAACCTACATAATCCTATAAGTTGGCCTTCGCGAATTGGCTTCGCCTGTGTGATATCCAAGAGCCTACGCCAAAGACTTCGCTAGCCTTCACCACACAAAATGCCTTTGCACACATCTGGGGAGTTACAATCTGATTGAACACTTATCATTCAATTACAACATAAAACAGCTACTCACATGAATCCCATCAAGTGCTCTCCGAGCAGCCGATAGGTCACCTGCAAACTCCAGGAACTTGACATGTTAAGATACATATTCATACTTGTTTAAATAGGTTAGCTGTTGTTCATAATATATTTTCCTAGGCTTGAATCAAGCTTGACACAACGGCATTTGAACAAGGATTTTCACATCTCCTCTAAGACATGTTGCCTTGGTGTGGCAAGTGATCCCGCGCAAGTAGCAGCAGTAGCGCTTCTTCTCCGAGCTCCACATGCTCATGTCGCCACTCGCATCTGGGCAAAAGCTCAGCGTGACAAGTGGGAGTGGGAGAGGTGGAAAGGGTAGATCTGCTCTTCATCTTTATATATTACATGTAATATATGTTGCAGTTGTTTTGAGCACAAAGCTAAATGGATTGGTTTTCTTGTGTTTGTCCCTGGCAAAACCACAACATACCACAACTGCACAAAGTCGCTTGCAAGCATGTCTGCGAGGCAACATCCCAAATCTTGACATTCTGTTGTCAAGCTTCTGCACATAGCTGCTGACAATCGTCAGAATCTTCACAGTTGTACGAGTACGGGAATCAAATATATATATATATAAGCTTCCTGGATTTTGCAAAACTCCAATGGTTCTCCTGCATCCCGACAAGGCTTTACACCCCAGAAGCCAAAAAGAGAAGGAAAAAAGTTCTATCGCAAGAATATCGATTGATCAAATTAAATGTGCCTTGACAATGACAACTTGTGACAGCTGCATTCCCACGTTCGGACCTCCATCGCAATCGAAGGCATGAGTGTGCACGTGAACCGTGTGCCTGAGCGATGGCTCGGATGCTCTTTTTCGGCTACAGTTTCAATGTCAATGCATGAGCACGGAACAAACCACGACAAAGCAGCATAGTGGAACGGCAAAACTCGTTGCAGGGCATAAAAGGTCATAAGTCAGCCCTTAGATATTATACAGGAGTAGAACGACGCACGCTCGCATGCACCCTACCCAAGTGTTTGATCAAATCTTGCTACTTGAGAGATGCCAGTGCCTGCAACATGCTCCACCCCTTTCCTCTCAAGAGCATCCGAGCTTTGCCGAGCTGCGTGATCACTTTGCGTGGAGGAGGAGGGATAGGCACAGTCACAGTGTGGGGCACCTTCACGTCCCTAAGTCAGGCGAAATTGTTGAGAAGGACTCAGAAAACCCAACATGATCCTGATTGCCTTGGCGTATTCTGTTTCACGCAGAAAGAATAAACACACGCACTCCCTCCATGGTCTAAATGGTCAATCCGATTGATCCAGAGCCAAAAACTGCCAAATCTGCACTTTCACCAGCCAAGTCAGCACGAGAGACCTGCCAAATGTAATGCTGGTATGACCCTAAATAAGGAAACCTGAACAAAAAAAAGTATGACCTGGTGCAATCTCAAATGCGCCATGTCCGTCAGATTCAGTTGTTTGATAATCCACCTCAATGTCCAATCAGCCAGGCGGCTTCACGTTGGTGAAGTACCTCAAAAGCTGGCGGTTTGTTTTTGCTAACCGGACCTGTAACGATCCCGTTGTTTTTTCCTTTTATCATGTGTTTGCATTTGTGTGCGCTTTCAATGTAATGTATACATGTGTGACATGCTTTCGCAAACTAACGAGAGACGAGAGGACACGCGCCGCACAGGGGTGTTGTGGGGGGTGGGGGTGTCGGGGGGTTAATGACGTTCGCTTGGATGCGCTTCGGTGATTCTACCACATGCACACATGCTGTCGCAGACGAGTGCATACCAGTGCGCACACACACACAGTTGCCATACTTTTTCACACATGCTTTCGCACATGATATCACACCTAGCGCGCATACACATGATACACTTTTCTTTTCCATCTTGTGCATGGGAGTCGAAAAGGTTGGTTGACATTTTTGAGCAGCTTGAGCTTTATCTATATGCTTTCCAGTGGCCTCGCAACCATAAAGGTTCGCTCTGGAAGGACACGGGAGAGTTGTTCAAAGAACGGCTACCCACACATAGAGACCGAGCCTTCGAAACAATGTAAATCCAGTCCCGAATTGGTAGAATACCACAACTTTTTGTGACATGCATCAACAAGGAAAGCACAAAAACACTGAGAAAACCCGCATGAAGCTTTTGAAGACACTGGCCAAAACCATTTAAAAACTGCGGGACCGTTACGGGACCGTTACATTGTATTTGGGCTGGAAACCTCGCTACCAACAACTCATTTCAACAAGTTTCTACGGCTCTGATTCAAAAATTAATACCTCATGGTGTCCTTGGCAAGTTTGCCCTTTAAGAACTGTTGGAGGGTACTATCGAATCATAATATATCAATGCGTATCAATGTCTGCAACAGTGTGGTGCAGCACGTATCGATTCTTGAGCCGTGTATCTTGTCGTGCATGTCATGGACATTGCGACGGAACAAAGTGCAGTCCCACCCACCAATCTTTGGGTTTCAGTAGGGCGTTGCTGCATTCCTAGCCTATCAATAAAAATGCACAGCCAAGCCTAAGCACTGACAGCTTATGCCTTTCTGTACCAATTTGGACCCAGTGGACGCGTATCACGAGTCTCACAGTTTGCTATTCGTCCAACCAGTCGCCCTATCCTTTTCATCAATATCTCACGCGTCGTTCGGATGTTGCGACCATTCGCCACGCTCAGTTATTTTTGCCAAGTCCTTTCACCCAAGCTGCTTTGGGAACGAGGAGCAAGGACGCTACTAGTAGCAAAGGGCATTTCTAGGAGCAAGGACGCTACTAGTAGCTCCTGGCATTACTACTGAGAAGCTACTAGACCATCAGCCCTTTTGCTGTTTGGAAGTTCCGGTGCCATGGTGCCCGGTGGATCGAAACATGCGGGGCTCCGCAGCCCACGATGGTGTCCAAGAAGTTTGCAGCCCATGTCGTAACCGATTCACGATGGTATGTCGTAACCCATCCCTTCAGTCACCAAAGTCGAACGTAGCACCTAGCACCTAGCACCCTGTTCCAATGTTCTAATGTTCTTGCAGCCTGGACAGGCTCCACTTCTAGTTGAGTAAAGGGTTGGAGCTTTGTCAGTCGCAGTATGGTAAGAATAGAAAAGCAAACTTGGTATACTTAGGGCCATGGTGCCAAATTGCACTTAAAGCGTATTGAATACGGAATCTACTTAGGGGGTTGATGGGCACCACATGCCCAAAGTGGTTTTATGATGTATTTGGGAACTAAGAAGTAACACACACAAAAAAAAGAGTATCCACCCGGAGACTTCAGGAAAACTCTTGGTTCCGGCACTTACGAGGTTTGGGAAACAAGAACTAAGAGGACAGTTGGGGACTGACTGTTAGAATTGGTTCCTAGATGCTTGAAACGTTGGAAATGGTTGCCATTCGTAGAATGACTAGACTAAGCTACTAAAAATGTGTTGTTCCCTGAACGAATCCTAGAACGAGCATCAAGATGCAAATCTTAGCACTTGTTGGTTATCTTAAAGTTACCGGGGGCAATCGTGGGATCTTAGTCTATTGACTGTTTCAGTCACCACATGGTTTCTGTTGTAGGCCCGAACGTGCCACCAAAATCCCCAATCCCTACAAACCGGGAAAGAAAAACATCATCACATTCCACATCATGCGCATACCGAATGCTGGCAACCCATCAGGACGATGCTGAACCGGGACGGGTGCCGCCGTGGCGTCGCTGCGCGTCGTCGCACTTTGTCCCAGCGTCTGGTCATGAATCACCGTTTGCGTCGGAGTCGGAGGCGTCTGACTGCACCAAACAGCATAGCCCTGAAACAGCTGAGACTAAATCCGTTGATGTATTTGTTTGTTCTGAACTGGCTGCAAAACATCGCTGAGACTTATGGACTTATAGTCAACCGTTATTGAAGAAAGCTGAAAGAATTCTGGGAGTCATAATAATTGTAGTCATTATTAGTCATTGTAGTCAGACCTTTATGACCTTCGAATATCTTGAAATCATCTGCAACTGCCTTGGAGCAGCAGGTCTCATGCATCGTGTCGAAGTCGGCCTCCCAGGTACACGGTGCCCACATGCAATAAATGACAAGAACTGTTTAAAAAACATCTATCCAGCAGTAGATCTTTCGGTTGTGTGTCCAACTCGCTGCTCTGCTGTGCCCGCGACTCTCAACTCATCTGCTCAGTTTGACGTCCAAGGCTCCCCGGTCGTTGGCACACGCGGCGCAACTTCAGCAAGGTAAGTCTGTGGAGTGTGGTCGCTGCAAGGGTCAGTGTACCCAGGTCCCCTGGGTCGTGGCGGGCGGTGAACGGACTTCAAACCATGTCAAACCAAGTATATTATATACAGTATTTGAAACATGATTCAGGGGCTTACGATAGATCAGATAGAGGCTGTTTGAGTCTTGAGCTTGGTGTGGAGGACGATCCACTGTCAACTATAGACTACAAACGCATGCACAATAGATCGGTTGAACAATCCTTCGCAGGATTCGTGTACTGTTGACGGACCAACTAAGAAACCCGGGTGACTTCAAAAGGAGATAGCCACTGGATCCCGTGGGTTAATTAAAGTATATAATTGCGTTGGAAATCAATCATTTCAGCACTTGGTCAATCTGTGTGCTAGCAGGGGAGAAGATTCAAATTGGAAGCAAAAAAAAGTTCCTTCATATTCCTTCCAAATGCACAGCCCTCTGTCACACTGTCCATGAGTTGAGGCAAAGAATTCGTTTTGCAATTCGTCTGATTGTCCCAGGTGAGAGATCCCTCTAATTACGAATGCAGCCTTCCTCCACGAACAAGTGGTGTTCCAGATCCATGTTAAGCAAGGCAGAAACGTATAAGTTCACTTTGCCAAACGACTCACTCAGTTCAAACCTCCCCTCCCCATTCTTTACCGGAAAAATATTTTACTTCGAGTGAATCCCACAATGCTACAATATTCTGTTGATAACCGACGGCCGGCTATGTTGCAAACTTCTTCATCACCAAGAAAGTGTCTATCTTGCAAATACTATACTGGCATATATAATTGCATTCTATGTGGTATAGATTCTGGTACTCTATCTCGCATACACTCTGGCCTTCTTTATGTCTGGTACATATTCCGGCGTTCTACCTGGTGCATATTTTGGTACTCAGTGTGGCACGACATATTGTGGTGCTTTATCTGGCATACATCCTGGTGTTGATTTGGCAAGTATGTTGGCACTCTATCGGGCAGAGTTTCTAGCGTTCTATCTGCCATAATTGCTGACACTTTCCTGGCATTCTTTCTATCTGGCTCCCACTGCGATCTGGCGCTCGCGGCAAGCTAGCCGCTATAGCCCTCGCGGTTGAGGTCCGGCGGTGCCCGCTGCGATGATCTAGCGCTCGCGGTTGAGGTCCAGTGGTGCCCACTGGGGGATGCGGCACTCGTGCTTGAGGTCCGGTGGTGCCCACTGAGATTTGGTACTTGTGGAGGAGGAAGAAAAGGAGGAGGGGGACAGCTCTGACAAAATCTAATGACCCTCACCTGACACGTGGGGAACTACTATGCCGCATACCCTTCAAAGAGGCCAGCGCTTTGAAACTGTGAATCGTGAATGATTCGATCGAGACCGATCGCATGTTTCAGTTGACAAGCACAAACCAGTTGTGCACTCGCTCGATGGCTCAAGAAACAGGGACGACGTGCCGATCCCGACCTTTTTCACGCGTGACCTTCCTTAGGTTATGAGCCCAAGGATCTCGTGATTCTTGGCAGCCTCGCGGTGCTTCCATGGAGCAGCGGCGGCGACGCCAGCAGCGGTCAAGAGAAAGAAAAGAGGCCGCAGCGCCACAGGTGGAGATCGGAGCAGCTGATCGCCGGCTCGACGCCCTGATTGAAGAAGAGCTGATGGCCAAGGCGGCAAGAGCGCAATCAGTGCCTGTGGGTGCAGCTGAGGTGAAGCGGCTGGGCGTGGCAGCTAGCGCTGGTTCTGGCCATGGAGGCCCTCCAGCCGTCGCAGCAGCGAGTGGCGGCCAAGGACAACCTGAAGTTCGACAGCTGTTGAATGACCCGAGAGGCCAGGCAATGGGACTTGGGCATTTGCAGGAGGCAGTTCGACAGTCATTTGAGGTGCTGCAACATGCTCTTCAAAGGCCAAGCCCACAGCCGACCCTACTTGATCCTCTCCTTCGACCCGGCGATCATGGAGTTCATGCCGGTACCGGACTTGGAGGTCATCCTGCGCACGGGCTGGCGGCTGGCACTCCCTCGCCGCAAAGCGGGACTGAGGTTGAGCGCATGGGTGCATCGCCCTACTTGGCTGGAGCTGGACGCGATGAACTACATCCTTGCGTGCTGGAGCCCTATCCTACCACACCGGTGGGACCTCTGGGGACGGTGAATCCCTTTTGGAGCGCTTCGGTTCAACAGGCGGCGAAGGGTGAGGCGCACGTTCGAGCATCGGCGACCTCGGCAACTGCAGGTGGACCACATCCTGCACCAAGTCCGGGCTTGGGAGATGTTGAACGTCTTCGTGAACGCATTTTGAAGGAGGCTGAAGAAACCTTCGCCCGGGAGGTCAAGAAGATGACGGACGGTGGAGATTCAGCTTCGTTCACTTCGGTGCCAAGCGCCAAAGCTGATGGACGGCATGATGCCAATGGGGAGCCTACAAACTTGGAGGGCCACCTGACACTCCTCCCGGTCTCGCTCCAGTACATGATCCTCGAGGACGTGGAGATGGATTGAATGGTTCAGCGAACCTGATGAAACCGCTGGACTCAGTGACTGCGGCACTGCCTGAGGCAATGCGCAACCTTGAACTACCCCCACTACCAGCACCTTCGGCTGAGAATGCGGCCTTGCTGTTTGGAGATTGGCTGACGGTGATCACTCCATTGATGGGAGACCTCAGCACTTCGTCCAAGGAGTTTTGGGAATGGGTGCAACGGGAGGTGGAGGCCAAGTACAATGAATGGCTCCTGGCGACACCACTGGCTCGGTTGAGAGTCAACGCAGCCTGACCGAGG